TTTTGCAATTCTGGATAATAAAAGCAGAGCAGGTGGCATCATAATTACAGACTTCAAGTTATTTTATAAAGCTACACTGAATATAACAGCATGGTATTGGCACAAAAACAGGCACATGGATCAATGGAACAGAATAGATGCAGAAACCACCCGAGGCTCATACAACTATTTGATCTTTGACAAAGGAGCCAAAAACATTCACTAGAGAAAAGATAGCCTTTTTAATAAATGGTGCTGGGAAAATTGGATACCCACACGCTGAAGATTGGTCTAGGGCCATATACCTCATCATGTACTAAAATCGAAACGGATCAAAGGTCTAAATGTTAAAACAATCTGCTGGATGATAAAAGAGGCACAAGTCTTAAAGGCAGGCATAGGCAAGGACATTCTGAATAGAACCCCAATGGCACAAGAAATAATACAAACAATTAACAAACAGGATCACATCAAATTAAAAAGCTTCTGAACCACAAAAGAAACAACAAAGTGAAGAGACAATCTATAGAACAGGAAAAAATTTTGCCTACTATATTCCACAGACAGAGGACTAAGATCAAGAATACATGAAGAACTTTAAAAAATTAGAGCCCCTAAGAGACCCAACCAAAAAATGGGCAAAAAAATGAATAAGTCACTTCTCTGAAGACATACAAATGGCCAGTAAATATATTAAAAAATTAGAACCACCTAAGGGACTCAATCAAAAAAAGGACAAGTGAACTGAACACACTTCTCACTAGTAGTACAAGGGGCCAATAAACACATGAAAAAATGCCCAGCATCACTGGCCATTACAGTGTAGTAAAACTCCACTAAGATACAATCTTATCTCAGAAAGAGAGGCTATCATCAAAACAAAATCTAGTAACAAATGCTGTTGATGCTGCGTGGCGAAAAAGGAATTCTTCTGCATCATTGGTGGGAGTGTAAACTAGTACAACCACTATGGAAAATCAGTGTGGGGAGTACTCAAAAAAATAAAAGTAGAAATTTCATTTGACCCAGCTTTTCCCCTCTTAAGTATCTTGCCAAAAGAGTTAAAGTCATCATACTGCAGGGACACACCCAGACCCATGGTTACAGCTGCACATTTTATAACGGTAAGGTCTTGGAAACAGCATACATGTCCATTAACAAATAAATGAAGGGCCAGGGATGTAGCTCAGTGGTGCTGTGCCTACCTAGCAAGCTCAAGGTCCTGAGTTCAATCCCTGGTACAAAAAAAAAAAAAAAAAAAACAGATGAATGAAAAAGGGAAATGCAGTATTTTTGTGCAATGGAGTACTACACTACCATGAAGATAAACGAGGCATTTGTGTGTAAGTGGATACAACTTGAGAACATAATATTAAATGAAGTAAGTCAGACAAACAAGCTCAACTATCAAATGGTTTCATTACACACACAGAGTGCCAATTAGAAGTGATTGATAATTGGGAAGTAAAGTTCAAATATGCCCTCAAATTACATATTCCATTGCTTTAAAAATGCTGCAATATATATACTAATTTGTTTCATTTATAACAATTCTTCTTTTTTTTGTACCAAGGATCGAACTCGGGACCTTGTGCTTGTGAGGCAGGCAGCACATAACAATTCTTTATCTTATTTCACTGAAAATAAAGTCTGTATTTTTTTTTGTAAGAATCTTTTTGGCTCACGTCTTAGGCTGAATAAATTAATGTAAAGATAACAATACATAGTGTCATAACTACTGTTATTATTTGGTTATGAAAACTTGTTTCATTTTTCATAAAATTAATGTATCACGTCACAAATGCAGACTGACCTAATAGGGCTATGATGGCAGTTAATTTGTAAGAAAATCCCCAAATAAAGTTGAAGGACAAGTAATATGACATGGACACTGATTTTATCTTTTATTATTCTTGCATAATTCTTTGTGCTACTTGCTAGCAATATATTGTACATTTCTTCAATTATATCTCCCATCTCCAAAAAAAAACTGAAGAGGGAGCAACATACAAGGAATTTTAGTATGTCAAAGAACTCCTGGAGAAATTACTTATGCTAGAACACATCTTCACATCTTAAAAAAAAAAAGAATAAAAATTCTGGTTTGAAACAGTTTAGAAGTAACTCTTGCCTCAAAATAAGAACATACTAAGTTCTTTCCATGATACTTCGGCTCTAATCCTAGGGGAACTGAGCCAGTAAAAATACAGTGTCAAAGTGACTTTACATCACACATTTAAAATGGACTGAGCAATTATTGGATTATGGTGCTGCTCTACTTTAAAAATAATTAACAACCTGATGCACAGAAACAATACTGGTGCGCATCACATGGCAGAAAATAGTACAGCAGGAAATATACCTAGTACTTTTAATGGATAAGCTAGGATTCAACACACTGAAGTGCAAACATACCAACTTTAGTGACAATCCAATCTTAGGAGGATCCTGCTTCTCATAATGGCCAAATAGCTCCTGAAAAACTAACCCTCTCCCAGAAAACATTATAAACCCAAAACAGGACATTTTTTAAAAAATCAACTATCTAAACAAGTTATAGCAGAACCAAGTACTGGCAAAAGTGAGGAAGAAAAGAGTGTTGAGGGCAAGCCACAGTCAGTGGCCGACACAGATTAAACTCAAAAAACTCAAGTGTTCCTGGACCAAAGAACCAGAAAGCCATATGGAGTAACCCCAACTGCTGGAAAATGAAAAGAGAAAAGTATACCAGAGAAGGTATAAATTATGCCCCAATCTCTGACCTCCACTGAACTTTTCATGAATAGAAACTCTATAGGCAAGGGACTGGGATTTAGCCCAGTGGTGCCACCACCTGCCTCGCCAGTGCAAGGTCCTGAGTTTGATCTCCAGTACCACCCCCACCCCAGACCCTCTACAGGCAGAAACACTAAAGCTAAACGATGGGGAAAACAAAGTAGGGAGTTTGATCCCAGGCAAGATAATTAGCCACTTAGCCTAATGCTGTGGCACATGCCTATAATACCAGCATTTTGGGAGACTGAAGCAAGAGATGACAAACTGAAGTCTAGACAACTGAGACCCTGTCTCAAAACAAAAAATAAAAAAGGTCTGGAGATGCAGCTCAGTACAAAGGTCCTGGGGTTCAATCCTTGGTACCATCACACACACAAAGTGTAATGGAAAATATAATGAATAAAAAAAAGTCGCAGCAATGACAAAATCTATTAAAAAATGAAAAGGAAAGTCTGTAAATTGCAATTTCTAAAGTAAAAACAATTGTGCTTAAAACGATTACAGTTTGGGCTGGGGATATAGCTGGGCGGTAGAACAACTGCCTGGCTTGTACAAGGCTCTGGGACCATTTCCCAGCACCACCACCTGCCGTCAAATTACAGTTTTGACTGTGAATGTCCCCTTGGGCCCCAAGGTAGTACTACTGGGAGGTGGGGGAGTCCTCCAGGGTGGGACCAGGTGGGAAGACATTAAACCACGGGAGGTGTGACCTTGAATAAGACTGTGGGACTCAGGGCTCTTCTTTTCATTCTCCTTTTCTTCCTGGCTGAGATCAGTGACTTTTTGTGCCACATGCTCCTGCCACAATGCATTGCCTCATCAAAGGTCTGGAGCCAACTGATCATGGCTAAAACCTCTAAAGCTGAGATCCAAGCTTTTTCCTTTATAAACTGATTATCTTAGGCATCTCATTATAGTTATGGAAAACTAACACAAGAGGTAAAGAAATCAGTGAACTTGGCAACAGGTTAATAGAAAAAAGGTTTACAGAGAAAGGAACTTCATGGATTTTTGATGTAATACTCAAAGGTCTACCATATGTATAATTCAATTACCAAGAAGTAAAGGAAAGAAAGAGGCCAGTTTTACTCTTAGGTAGCAGAAACAATAAACTGGTTTACAAAGCTATACCAAGTACTAAAAACTGTGAAGAACGAGTGGGGTGTAGCTCAGTGGAAGAGCACATGCTCCTCTTGTGCGAGACAAGAGGTTCAATCCCCAGCATTACTTTTTAAAAAGCAATTGTGAAGAATGGATACAAGGAGTTTTGTGCATGTCTCAAGTTTAAACTGGAATAAAAGCTGCATCAGTATGGCTTATTTGCAGGCCCTATAAGACATTAAAACATCCAGGTTATTAACCAATGCATTTGTGTTTTAATGACTGTAATGGCTTTCTGTCACTGGAACAAAATACCTGTAAAAAGCAACTTAAAAGGAAGACTTATTTTGGCTTACTTGACTCTGTTTCAGTCCACAGTCTCTGAGCACCACTGCTTCTAGGCCTGTGGCAGGCAGCAGCACATCATGGTGAAAACCAAGGGCAGGAAAAGCTGCTACCATTATAGCAGCCAAGAAGCAGACAGCGAGCTCACTTTTATAACACAGTCCCTCAAAGCTATGAATTCACAAATGGATTAATCCATTCATAAGGTTAGAACCCTCATAATTAAATTACTTTCCAAAGTTGCACCTCTAAACACTGCTGCTTTGGAGACCAAGGCTGCTACGTATTGACTCTTAGAAGGCATTTAAGAGCCCCCAAAAAGCACAACAATTCCTCTAATTCCTCAAGTAAGCACTGTCTACTACTATCAAGAAGGAACTCTTGGGGCTGGGGATTTGGTTCAGTGGTTCCGCTTCCCGCCTCACAAGTGCAAGGGCCCGAGTTCAATCCCCGGCCCCCCAAATAAAAAAACAAACAAATAAATAAAAGTCTTTTTAAAAAAAAAGAACTCTTGACAGCAAACACAGCTTCCAAGAAAAACACTAATTCCTTTGAGGAACAGTTTCCCAAAATACGCTAAAGAATCAAATAACCACATAACTACAACAACAAAAAAGATCATCAAAGTTACACAAAGATAGCTACCCTCATTCCAACTCTGCAGCACAGGTTTCACATCTTTGAGTGCTCACTACAGCTCCATGTATATAAAATGGAGTATTTAAAAATAAGTTTTATGTTTAAAACCAAGAAGACATTATTAATTCAAATTATATTAAAACACAGAAAAGAGAGATCACCTTGACGGCTTTCTGGGAATTAGGCAGTCCTTCTTCTATGTCTTCTAAAAGAATTCCTCCTAATCCTCGCTGGTCATGCTGATCTAATAGCCTAAGTAGGGCCCTCTTATCTTTCAAGTCGTATTTGGGTTTGAATGCATACTTCCCATCTATCACTTCAATTTTGGGATTGTTGACTAATGCCTGAAACAGTGACATAATGTACATAGATTAACAAAAGGAAACTTCACACATACATTCCTAAATTCTAATTATTTAAAAATGAAACACTACCCAGTGCAGTGACAAATTAAACAGACCTTGTGTGAATTAGAAGATCTAATACACTGGACATACAGGATCCCAGAACAATAGTCAAAAATCAACCCAGTGCTCACTTTTTATTACATTTTTTTAAAAAACTACATATTATATACATACATTCTTTGGAGAAAAACCATTTTATCACAATTGCCTTAAAGAAAGTTGAAGCTATACTCTTTAAGAAGACAAAATGGGCAGGAATCAACAGCACACGTCTTAATAACAGACAAAATAAACTGGGTAGCCTCTACAGTATAGTTTTCCACATATCAGCATTATAACAGAAGAAATGTTACCTGGATGAACAAATCAGTAGTCAGTCCTCACCCCTGCTATCAACTGGTGCTAGCAGCTGTATAAAGAACTGAAAAGGACTAATTTGTAGATGAACTTTACTACTGCATCAGCTTGAGAATGAAATTCTGTAGGAACACAAGAATTACTGACTGCAACTATATGCCTAGTCAGTTCTGCTGTACAGCTAATAAGTGGAGGAAAGCTCCTCAAGAAAGAGCAACCCTATTTATTTTCTGCATTTGCCACCCTGACCTTGAAACACAAAAAGAAAGGAGAACAGAATGTAATATAATAAAAATAATCTTTAATGGTGGTAAGTCTATGAAATTCCAGTATAGGTAAACCACCAAATTTAAATGTGAACTGCTATTATTTGTATCTCACTAATATATTTTACCACAACTATTCGCAACATCTTGGACACTTTGAGGTTAAAAATGTTATGATGGTTCTGTTTCTGGTAATGGCCAACTAGCTCCTAAAGGACCAAAGACCATGACCTTCAATGATACCAATGAAGGGGGGCCATAAGCTGCAGTGAGACTGATTAAATGGTTCATTTTATATTATAATAATCAAGAACTGTATTTTGGGATGTTCAAATAAATTAAGTATATTTAAAATTTTTAATTTGGTCTTTAGAATCTATCACTGGTCCTAAAAAGTAGTCTTGTTCATTGTCATTAAATATATAAACTCAAAACAAAGAAATATATGAATGCTTATAAATGCTATTTCAGTCGAACATGGTGGTGCATGCCTATAATCCCAGCATGCATACGACTGAGGCAGGAGAATCACCAAGCCAGCCTGGGCTACACAGTGAGTTCCAGGCCTGCCTGAAATACGTACATAGCAAGACCTTATCTCAAAATCCAAACTCAATAAATAAATTAAATTAAATTAAATGGTATTTCCAAATTAGCATCGTCAACAACCACGATGAAGTTTCTTTCAAAGTGTGTATTTATATATAATATTCATGGTTATTTTCCTCACCTCTTCGGGGAAGTAATTATCAAGTCATAATAGTAGTAGTTCAATAAAATATCTTGCTAACCCCAGAGTACCTCATGCTTTAGTTTTATTTCCTAAAATATATATTTTGAAAATACAATTTATAAGCATATAAATTATAAATTTAGGTAGTCAATATACCAACTATTCATAAATACGAAAGTGTAAAAATGGTACTTTTTTACTATGCTAAAGTCCTAACAATAAAATTATGTGAAAATCAACAAGTCAAACAACTTAGAAATACGTATGTCTAAAAAAGCCCCTTCATCAGTTCCTTTAGGAAAATAAAAGGCATAACCAGATTTCAGTACATTCAAAACACTCTAGAGGTTAGGGATGCAGCTCAGTGGTAGAGTGCTGTGTAGCATCTATAAGGTCCCCGGCAAAAGCACAAAGCAAAACAAAACAAAAAACACTCTTAGTTATGGCAAATATCTCATGGGTTCAGTCCCTACGATAAAAAAACAAAGTGAACAAAAGCACTCTAGTTACAGAAAATATCTCATGGTAATCGACTAATTTTTTACATGATGTTTGTAAGCCTATTCCTACCTCAGTCATTAGCCATTGCTTCTGCTTGAGTCCAATATCTAAATGCTGTGTTTCATCCAAAATTTCTTCTAAAGTTAGAGGATGTGTATCTCCTCGCTGATGCCGGGTCTATTGAGGGAAAAAATTATCATTAGAAAAGATTTGAAATGCTACATGCATTAAATCAAAGTTGAACATAAATAAAAATCTTCAGGAATTCACATGTATTTCTGAGGCAGTACAACTACAGTGATGAAAAGCGCAGACTACGAAACCAGACAGGATCAGATTCAAACTCACAGCTTTATAAAACTGATAGTAAGGGGGGATAGGACAAAATAAAATTCATTAAAGAGTAAAATTTTAAAAAACTAAATGATAAACTGTTAAAAATCTTTGCAACTCATATAACAAAAAACAAATATTTGAAGAAATCAAAAATCCAAATAGGTAAACAGACAAAAAGGAAATGGAAATGACCTTAAATATAAGAAGAGATGCTCAACTTCTACCAAGATATTTCTCAGTCATTATACCTCAAAAACTCTACATATCTGATGACTTCTTTGGTTAATCAGGCTACTAGGAAACACCTTGTCACAGACTGCTGGTAAGAGAGCAAATTGATACAACTCCTAGGGAGGGCAAAATGAATGAAGTTTAACCCTTTAACCCAGTAACGGCCTCTCTAGGTATGTACCCTCCAAATGTATCAAAGCAGAAAGGGAACAATGGTCAATGCGGCACTGTTTGTACAAGGAAAATATCAGAAAGACCCAAGCTGCCATGAATTTTTGTTTGTTTGTTTGTTTGTGTGTTTTGCAACAGGGTCTCACTATGTAGTTGAGACTGCCCTGGAACTCACTATGTAGCCCAGGCTGGTCTTGAACTCAACAGCGATCCTCCTGCCTCAGCCTCACGAGTGCTGGGATTACAGGCGTGCACCACCACACCTGGCAAGAAAGGACTAATTAAACTACAGCACATCCATGCTCCAGACAGACATTAACAAAGAACGTGAGGTGCCAAGGACAAGTTAAACACACAGCAGACACTAAATGTTGGTGAGGACAAGTTGGAACAAGAAATATCATTCATTGCTGGTGAAAATACAAAATGATACAGCCACTTTGGAAAATAGTTCGGCAGTTTCTACAATTCAAAATACACTCTTCCCTAGCCAATCAATCTAGCAATCACATACCTTTTGTGTGCACACACATAAACCCACAAGTGTTTACTGAAGCTTTATGCATAACTGGCAAAATTTGGAGGCAACCAAGATGTCCCTCAGTGAGTGAACAGCTAAACCAGAGAATATTATTAGTACTAAAAGGAGATGAGCTAACAAGCCAGGGGAGAATCCTGAATGCATGTTACCAAGGAAGCCAATCTAAAAAGGTTTCACATTACATGGTTCCAGCTGTATTACATTCTAGAAAAGGCAAAACTGTGAAGACTAAAATATCCAGTGGTTGCCATGGATTAAGGGGAGGGAGGAATAGTCAGGCAGAGCACAAGGATTTCTCAGGGCAGTGAAACTTTTGTGATACTATAATAGTGACATGTCATTAGATATTTGTCAAAACCCATAAAATGTGCAACACTGACAGTGAACATACACTTTGTACTTTAAGTGATAACGTGTCATTGTAGTTTCCCACTGGTAACAGACATACTGTTTTGGTGTGGGATGTTGACAGTCAAGGAAGTAGAGGGGCAGAGGGAACATATGGTAATTCCATACATTCTGCCCATTTTGCTGTGAACCTAAATTGCTCTAAAAATTAAAGTGCATTTTCTAAAAAGCAGAAAAGACAAAAGTAGATATCTTTTATTGCAAAAGGCAGAACTAAATAATACAGGAGCTACATGAGGGGATGGACACTTAGTGACATGCATGGAAGAATGCTGAAGGAAGACAAGGAATCCCACATGACAGAGACAAGCAGACGCGCGCTCACTCATTCCTCCGCTTTCAGCATCCTGCAATGCACTACAGTTCAGCTACTACTGGATAAGCTGTGGTGCATTTTATGTTAAAAAGACCTTGAAAATGCAGATCTTGTACCACGTTTCATAACGCTTTAAGAAATTACTGCTTTTATTAGTATTTCTTTCTACAAAAAGGCAAATGTTTCAAATCTGCTAAACATTCCACTACAGAAGTTATTTCTAGTTTGCAAACAATTATTTTTAAAAAATAATCAACAATCTGTCCCTTTAAAGTACAATTTCCATTTTAACCATGTGTTAAAGTAACAAAGATACTGCTTTTTAGAAAAAATTCATGCTGTGAAAAGAGTTCTTTGAAAAAGAATATTTGGAAATAGTCTCATCATCATGATTTCTAAGTTTTCAAAGTACTGTATGAGGAAAATTCTCTTATCTACATACTTTAAAATTTTTAGAAAAAAATTTTACTCACAATTTTCTAACCTATAAACCTTCTTAAAAAATCTTTTCTGTATTTTAAATCAATTTTGTCAAAATATAGTCCCTTCTGACATTTTTTCATGAACTGATATATAAAGTGGAAACTCACTAATCAAACTTATTGGTTCGTGAGATGGAATTAAAAATTAGTGTCCCCCAATACAATCATGGTGGGGGACTTCAATACCCCAACTCCCAGTTAGCCTGGCCAACCAAAGAAAAAGTCAACAAAGAAACAGCATTAAACCATACCATTAAAGAAATAATGGACTTAAAGGAGATCTACAGTGTTTGATCTAATGACAACAGAATACACATTATTTTCAAGAGCACCCAGAACTTTTTCCAAAATAGAATACATCTTATGCTATAAAGCATGCTTAAATTGATATAAAAGAACTGAAATAATCCCATGTACTATCATACCATAGCTGAATGAAGCCAGAAATTAACAGCAAAAGAAGCCACAGAAACTACACAAATACATGGAGACTAAATAATATATTACTAAATAATCAATGGATCACAGAAGAAATCAGGAAAGAAAGTTTCTAGAATCAAAGGACAATGGAAGCACAACATACTCAAACCTATGGGACACCATGAAAACAGTTCTGAGAGGAAAGATTATACCTGTAAATCCACACATAAAAAGAACAGAAGTCCAAATAAATAATCTAATGATGCATATAAAGGTCCTAGAAAAATAAGAACAATCCAAATCTAAAACTAACAGATGAAAAGAAATTATAAATATCAGAGCAGAAATCAATGAACTGAGGCTAAAAAACACACGAAGGATCAAGAGTTGGTTCTTTGAAAGGATGAGAAAGCAAGTGATCTAGGGGTGCAAACACGGAGAAGGAAAGAAAATGGTCAAGATGCAAAATGTGTATGTACCATTCCCCCACATTGAAGATATTTACTATGCATTGCAAAAATACAAATTTTAAAAACTAGTGGTGCACACATATAATCCCAGCACTCAGGAAGCTGGGGCAGGAGGATTCACAAATTCAGGGTCAGCCCTAGGCAGCACAGCAGTGACATACAATGGACCCTTAACTTGCGAATTCAATTCATTCTCAAGGGCTGGCTGGAACTCCAGTTGGTCAGTGAAGGCTCAGGCTCCTCTACACAGCCTTCAAAGTCTCTCCTGCATACAAGCGGATCTCAGTGTCCTTAGACAGGCATGGGCCAGGATTTCTCAATCAATCACGCACAGGAAAAGATGCTGTAATGTTCCTTCAGAACTTTTTGTTTTATTGAGTTTATTGGTACTTTTTAGGTATACAGTACAGTTACATTCATCAATGGGATCTTGTACCTTTACATGACAGGTCTTGGTTCTCATTTTTTCCCTATTCCCCTGCCCTCCCTTCACCCTTTCCACCATTCCCTATTTACAAACACTTTATTTCCATTTTTTCCTTTTCTCATATTTTTTCTTTTCCCTTATTTCATTTCTCCAACCCTTCCCACTTCCCCTACACCTTTAGCCCTTTTCTTCCTATTTCACTTTGTCAGTTACACAATTTGAATCTTATTTACACTTTTAGTTTTTCACACCAGAGAAACTATTCTGTATTTACACGTGTCCTATTTATTTCACTTAAGAGTGTGGCCTCAATATGCATCCATTTTCCTATAAAAGACTCTAGTTTCTCATTCTTTATGGCTAAGTAGTACTCCATTTTATAGAACTCTGTAAGGGTTAAATATGTATCTGAGACCATCTGGACCCACAGTCAGCATTCAGATCATAACTCAAGACTTTGACTGTACGTTTAAATTAAAATTCTGGTTGTAAATCCAAGTTGTTTACATGTTAGTCTGGTCATGTAATTTGAGGGTCCACTCTATCACAAAATAAAATTTAAAATGGCCTAGGAACTACATACAGCTCAGTGGTAGAGGACTTGCTTAGGATGTAGGAGGACCTGGTTCAATCTCTAGTGAAGAAAGATTAAAAGAAAAAAGGTTAAATCTTTGTTAAATTTCTTTCCAGTCACTAGATGATTTTTCATGTCCTGCATTTTGTACTTTGTCTCATTTTCTGATTTTTCCTGCAATTTTATAGAAATTGATTTTTGTAGACTGATGTTGTGTATATTCTTTTTATGGCATGCGCACTTCCCACCGCACTTTGTAGGATGTCCAGTGTAACACTGAAGTTGTGACAATTAGGTATCCATCCTTCTCTTGTTTCCTGACTTATGAAAAAGCACTGGGCTATTTCATTACAAGTATGATACTAAATCTAGGTTTTCATACATACTCTCTTAACACAGGGTTTCTCCCATTAGCATTCACAAGACTATGGGCTCCACAGGAAATCATGACTTTTAAAAATAAGTCATTGTCATACTTCACACACCATGTGACACTAATGCTCATAGTAACAGACAATGGCTACTGAACAGCTTTGCTAACAATGTCAACAGAAGTCCTCACAGAGCAAGGAGCAGTAGTGCTGAGGCTGCTATCAATTTCTGATCCAACAGGAGGAGGCCACTGATAACTGGTAGGCTACAGTGTACAAATGGGAGCACAACAAGCGATAATGTCAGCAACCCCCTTCCCAAATTCTATCCTCCAACCTCCTTTTAAATGCTTCCAACTGGCTTTACAGAGCAAACAAACTCTACTAGTATCACAGGAAATGAGGGAAATGCTCACTCTAAACAAATAAT